AGAGGGAAATTTATGCAAATGCCGGTCTGAAAAATGAGCGTTCAGCCCGGTTGCAGTGCGCGGAGGCAGGCACACGGCGGAGCCGCTCATTAGAATATCCTCTCTTTGTTGTGGATCCACACTGGATGATAATTAGAGATGATTTGTGATGTTGGGGCGGGAGCCCAACGTCCCACTCTCACGACCCGGGAATGCTGGGAAAGTGCGGCGCGGCTGGACAGATGTGGACACTAAGTGGTAATCTGACTGTGTGAAAACACAGAGGCGTAATATTGTTAGAGAAGGAGCCGGAATGAGGAGAAACAAAGGAGTTTAATAAACTTCAGAGCAGAGGAATCCAATAAGAAGGTAAAACAGAAGAGGGGGGGGGGGCAAAATCCACAAATGGGGGGAGGAGACAGAGACGGAGGGGGAGGCAAAAATCTTAGTCAATACAGTGAAGGAAAACGTCTTCTTCAAACTGTCGTCACCTTCATCTGTATGAAACGACTGAGGTCAGAGCTGAGACCCCCGGAGGGGGACATTCACCCACTCATCTTCATCCTCACCCACTCATCCTCACCCACCCATCTTCATCAACTCATCTTCATCAATTAATCTTCATCCTCACCCACTCATCCTCACCCACCCATCTTCATCCTCACCCACTCATCCTCACCCACCCATCTTCATCAACTCATCTTCATCAATTAATCTTCATCCTCACCCACTCTTCATGATGTTGGGGGGGTTTCCAACTCTTAACCTTTTTTAAAAAAAAATTCTTAATGACCAAACGCGTAGCTTCATGAGGTCAGTGATGACATCACAGCTGCAGTGCATCATTTTTATTTCATGTTTTTAAAACATGATGCAGGAAAATTCTGTTTTCTCACAAGTTTGAGTTTTTTTTTTTACAGTTTTATCATCAGGTTCTTTTTTTCTTCTGCAGCTGTGAAACTGAACTCTCTGATGAAGTCACACATGACTCCACACACACACAAAGGTACACATGTACCTTTGTCTGTGTGTGTGTGTGTGACCCCCCCCCCCCCCCCATCTCGGGGCCGTATGGATAAGGAAGAGCAGCAGAGCTCAGACAGGAAGCAGAAATAATAGCCAATTTAGCCTCGTCGTCTAAAAACTACACCTTGGCATTTTGAAATTTTTCCCTGGTTATTTTTGTCACTCGTCACATATTGTGGAGAGAAATTACGGTTCCTCAAGAAAAAAAAAAACAAAAAAACAGTGATGCTGTAATGAAACCAAAGTGGCAGCACAAGTGGAAAACTCCTGAAACCTTTAAAAAAAAAAAAAAACAAAACACAGTGATGCCGTAATGAAACCAAAGCGGAAAACTCCTGAAACCTTTAAAAACTAGGAGGAGGAGGAGGAGGAGGAGGAAGAGTGAAGAGGAGAAAAAGTAAAAAGAGCTGAAATCAGGGGTAACATTTAGTTTTTAACTTTAGATTTACGGTCAGTAATCGTAAAAAAAAAAATGTTGGCTTCTCCAGTAGGAGGCAGTAGTGTGACATTATGAATAAAGAAAGATTGAAATCTGCTCCTAAGAAATGCACTGTCATGTTGTTGTTGTTAAAGCCAACTGAAATGGCACTTTTGGCCGCAGTACCATTGATGGCCAGCAGAGGCAGGTCCTAAAAAAGTCATCAATCACTAACTCCTCTCTTTACTGTTACAAATAGAAACTTTAATGTCAGAATAAAGATTTTTGGAGGGGCGTGGTCGCCTGCGAATTTTCATAAAGAAGGTTCTGGGTTTGATTCCCATTCATGGGATGGATTACATCGTCCGACAAAGAAAGTGGACCACAAAAAAAAAAAAAAAAAGCTAAAAGATTAGCCTTCAAATGGCCAAGCAAACAGAATGGAAGTGAATTAAAAAATATATAGTTTTATAAAAAAATAAAAATAAAAAGTGCCTCAGTAATGATGAAGAACGTCATTAAAATAAAGTTGAAAAGATAAAACAAATTCCTACACGCCGGAGTACAGGGTTTGTGCATTCACTTGTTTTCTTTCAGTGTGTGTGTGTGTGTGTGTATGCATATGAAAGTGAGTGTGTGTGTGTGTGTTAAACCTTATACAGGAGCTTGCATTTCAATTTAAGGCTGAAAGCACGTCTTTGTTTGGCGTTCTGTTAAGGAGGAGGGAAAACACACACACACACACACACACATAACTCCATTCAAACGTTCAGTGCCAACGAGAAAAAGGAAAAGATTCAATTTTGTCTCCGTCCGCTCTCTGCGAAGGACAAACTCCTTTCAGCGGTTTCTCTGAGGACACGAACACACACAGACACACACACTTAGCTACATCCATTCAAACCCGTATAAACACGTGTAGAGGGAAAAGAGTCTCGAACTAATAACACGTGTATCTCCATCTCCATCTTCATCGTTTAAAATTGATTAAAAAAAAAAAAACAGAATATTTGGAGTTTTTTTTTTAGTCCACATACAAAAAAGAAAAAAAAAATCCCGTTCACGTCCAACCATACGTTAACGCGGAGCACATCGTACACACGTGTGCGTTCGTTAAATGTGCGACTCTCGATGCTACAGTCCTGGTTTTTTATGAGATCGGGTCGTTTTCACTTCTGCGTTTTCTTCTCTCCGTGGTTCACAGCTCCACATGAGTCGCACACGTGTGGCGTTCCAGGCTAATTTTTGTGAAGTGAAGTGGTGAAATTTTGGTTTTCACAAGGTGAGAAAGTGAAGACAAAAATCTGTGAGAAGAAAAAAAAAACTCAACTGTGGAGACTTATTATACTGTACATATATATATATATATATATATATACTCGTAGATATACTCATAAAGAGAAGAAAATGAAAAAAAGGTTCTGAGGTTCTGGGTTAGATTCCCAAACCTGGGATGGATCGTTCTTCCCCACAGTGTGTGTAAATGACATGTGTATTAATGATATAATTAATAAACTGTTATTTGTAATGTATTTGTTAAAAAAAAGGTACATGCAATACACTTTTGGTCCTCTAGGGTCAAAGATGATCCACCCAGACATGGTGTTCAAAAGTATTCATACTATCAGTATACATGTACTACTAAAGTACAAAATGTCACTTTTGCAAATTGCTCTGACTGAGACACGTCCACGTAGTGACGTTAGAACACGGCTGCTCCTGTAAGGCAAGAGCAAGACACACTTTACCACCGCGCGGCCTCTCCAGAAATCTTCACATTTAGCAGGAAGGCCTGTGTTTGGTTCTCAGAACCAGACTTTGACCTGGTTCTGGTCTCTGAGGTGGGACGGTACCGCTGCAGGTCCGTGTCTGACATCACCGCAGAACCCAAACCCACACTGACCTCCAGTGTGTGGCGAGGTTTCTGTGCTGCGGTGCATTTCAGTGCGTTTTGCAGATGAGGAAAAAAAAAAAGGAAAAAAAAAAAAAACCACCTCAGAGTCTCTGCAGTCTGGTCAACTAATTAAATGACTGCTTGGCCTCAGCAGCGGTTAATGCTGTTCAATTATGAATGAGAGAGATGGACCGAAGACGGCAGCACAATCAATGGACGCCACGGCGCAAAGGAGGGATCAAGGAAGAGTACGGAGTATGGCGAAAGAGAAGGAAGGAATGGAGGGAAGGAGAGACCAAAATGATGAAGTACGGAAGGAGACGGTGATGAAAAGGGAAGGAAACAAAGAGGAGGAGAAGAAAAAGGACAGGAGATAATGTGTCGGAGTGGAGTCGAGGGTTGAGTCTTTAATTCACTGTCAGTCAGGCTGAAACGGCCCTGTGGCCACGAGGCACCGTGTTTGTTTGGTCGACTTGTCAGCCACGGGCTCCTCACCTTTTATCTCCCCTCATCGCTCTCTCTTTCTATCTCTCTATCTCTTCTTTTCTGTCTCTGGTGACAAAGATCCAGATACATGATGATGTCACTTCCTCTCCGCCCACTGCTGCCTGGTATTTGTTCACATCGAGTCGTGTTTTCACATCGTAGTGTGTTTACTGACGTAGTAGGACGTAAAAAAGGACAACATTTATTTGACAGTTCAGACTACTATATACGATGTATACCATTGTTTCCCAAAGACTGGGTCGTGACCCTCAGGTGGGTCGCAAGAGATTTTTTTTTGGTCGTTC